CCCCAGAAACGTAACAGAAGGAGGTCTTCCAATGGGGACACTAGGTCTGGTGACCTGGGGGGGGGGGGCTCAAGGGATTCCCTCAATTTGCAAGGATTTCTTCTAACTTCCTGTTTGGCTATGGGACAGGAAGTGAAAGAAAATCTCCACAATGGGACACAGATGCCAAAAAAAAAAAAAGCCTGATGGGTTATAACCCTCTTGTTCGCTATCAAAAATGAAAAAAAAAAGTTTTTTCCAGTAGTTCTACTTTAATGCGAGCAGCTCTGCCATGCCCTATAGCACGTTGGAATGAGCTGCATAAAAATGCAACGTCTTTTTTATTTTCAGCGCTGCCTTGGTGTGAACTGAGCCAATAGAACATGAGATAAATGTCATTGTCTCTTCAATGGGAATGTGTTCGATTAGTGTGACCGAGGTGGTGTGGTGTGACCGAGCCCTACAAGCCTTCAAACCCACATGGAAGAAAAATATATTTTAAATATATTTAAAAAAAATACATTCTTAATATATTCTTACCAAATATATTGACCTATATTTCAAATACTACCATTTTGGACATATTCAATATATTTCAAAAATAAATTTCAAAATATTTGTGAATATATATTATTAAAAATATATTTTAGAACACACGCTGCAATATATATCAAAGTGTCATTTGGAATGCATTTACAAGTATATTTAAAAATCTGTGTGCATTTTTTTTAGATGTTCAAAAATATCTGGAAAATATATTTTGAAAAATATATTTTTAAATATACGCCTTTGGAAAATATATTTTCCCCAGCACCCAGCACCCAGCTACCGGGCACCCAGCTACCTGCACCCGGCACCCAGGAGCTGCTTCAGCCCACCCAGCACCCTGCAGCAGCCGGCACCCAGCCTCGGACCAGGGACCTCTTCAGACCACCAAACAAACTAAGACATCGCCGCATCTCCACCACCTGCACCGAGAGGGTCACCCAGCACCCAGCTACCGGCACCCAGCTACCACCTCAGGACACCCAGCTACCGGCACCCAGCTACCTGCACCCAGCACCCTGCCACAGCCTAGGGGCTGCTTCAGACCACCCAGCACCCTGCATCAGCCGGCACCCCAGCCACGGACCAAGGACCTCTCCAGGCCACCCGCACCGAGAGGGTAAGCCTCCACTACCAGTTGCCTCCCTGCTCCCGTCCGGGTACCACGCGGCCGGGCACCTACCACCACACAGCCCTGAGCCCTATCCAATCCGGAGGAGTCAAGCCTGCCACGCGTCCTTCAGCACCCACTGACACCAGGCCCTACCGCTCCCATAGATGCCGGGCCCCTAGCACCCTCAGTCGCTGACCCCCAACATCCGCATGCACTGGCTCACTTTGCCCACGGACGCCGAGCCCTACTGCACCTACCAACGCCTAGCCCACTCCAGACGTCGGTCCACACCACCTCCTGATGACGACCCTTCAACACCTCCTGACCCTGCGCCCTTCAGCGCCTCCCTGACGCCGAGCCCTCAGCACCTCATGCCTGGCCTCAACATCTCCAGTCACCGAGCCGCCAGCATCACCAGACGCCATGCCTACCAACACCCCCAGACATCGCACCCTACGACCCCTCCGCTCGCCGAACCACCGGACCCACTGAAGACGTGCCGCAGCACCCACGGATGCCAGCATACTGCACCCACAGACTGCAGCCAGCCAGTTGCTGCCCTCCACTCTCACTCTCCCCCTACAGAAGGACTCAAATGGACTCCTCCACGGTGATACAGACTCTCCACATCACCTTGCCCTGACCTGTATCCCTTCTCCCCCCCCCGACCAGCACCAGCACTCCACTCACCCCCAACATGCCACCTGCATTCCTGCTCCTCGTTTTCCTCTCCTGCATCCCAAAAATCGCCTCCCTCTACCCGCCTACCCCCCAAAACAGTTCTACATTGCCCCTTCACTTTTCCCCTCTCCCCACTACGGCACTCACCACCTCCTCCTGGTACTCCACCCCTCCGTCGACCCACGTGCCACCACTATCAGACCCACACGCTCCTGCACTTCCCATTCCCATGCCACCCTCCGCACCCTTCTCCTTCTCCTATCCGCTGGGGACATCTCCCCGAACCCTGGCCCCTCACCACCTCATCCCTCCTCTAGGGACCCCCGGCTACTTCCCAACTCCTCCACCTAACCTCCTCCTTCGCGCTCACACAGCACATTCAATCCTCCACCCACATCAATGGGAACACCCTGGACCTCGTCTTCTCCCACCTCTGTACCCTCAACCATTTCACTAACACCCCCTTCCCTCTCTCCGACCACCACCTCCTCACGTTCTCCATCTCCCCTTCCCCTAACTCCCCCCCCCAGAGCGCCAAACCATCACCAGCCGCAAACCTCCACAACCTGAACCCGGCCCCCCTCCCACTCGGCTGCCGACCGCCTACACGACAGCATCCTCTCACTGTCATGTCCTGACCTAGCCACCACCGCGTACAACGACTCACTATCAGCTACCCTAGACTCTCTGGCACCCCTAACCACACGCTACATCAAACCCAGACCGCTCCAACCATGGCAGAACGACCACACTAAGTGCCTCAAACGTCGCAGTCGCGCGCTGGGAGAGACTATGGCGCAAAACCAGGTCCCCCCTCGTGCATTCTCCCTCTACAAATCTTCCTTCCTCACCTACACCTCCTCCCTCCACGCCGCCAAGCAGGCCTACTTCGTTAACCTGATCAACACCCTCTCCACCTACCCTCGCCGACTCTTCTCCACCTTCAACTCCCTACTCTCTCCCCCCCCCCTCCTCCACTCAGTACCTCACTTAACACCCACGAGATTGCCACTCATTTCCACAACAAGATTGATGCAATCCGTAAGGACATAGTCAACTCGCAATCTACCTCCCCACCTAGCCCCCCCCCCATGTCCCCCTCATTTCCTCCCTCCTCTGACCTCGCAACCGCACTGCCCCCCACCACACCCAAGGCCCCGCTTACCGTAACCCCCCCAGCGCTGCACTCCTTCAGCCCCGCTACCATTGAGGAAGTCACCAGGGTCTTCTCAGGAGCCCGCCTCACTACCTGCCCCCTGGACCCTATCCCCTCTCAACTCCTCCGGTCACCCCCCTCTTCCCTCATCCGCTCCCTCACCCACATCTTCAATCTCTCCCTCTCTACCGGCGTATTCCCCTCCCCCCTAAAGCATGCGCACATCACCCCCATACTCAAAAAGCCCTCTCTGGACCCTACTGACCCAAACAACCTCAGACCCATCTCCCTGCTGCCACTCACTTCCAAACTCCTTGAGCGCTTAGTCTACGACCGTCTAAGCGCCCACCTAACTGACAACAACCTCCTTGATCCACTACAGTCCGGCTTCCGTCCCCTACACTCCACCGAAACCGCCCTCCTCAAAATCACCAACGACCTACTAACCGCCAAAGCCAAAGGCGACTACTCTGTCCTCCTCCTCCTGGACCTCTCCGCGGCCTTCGACACAGTTGACCACCCCCTCCTCCTTAATAAACTACTCTCCCTTGGCATCAGAGACTCCGCTCCTCCTGGTTCTCCTCTTACCTATCCCAACGCTGCTTCAGCGTTTCCTACAACGGTTCCACCTCCCCTTCCCTCCCCCTCTCTGTTGGGGTCCCCCAGGGCTCTGTCCTTGGATCCCTTCTCTTCTCCATCTACACCTCCTCCCTTGGCAAACTCATACACTCCCACGGCTTCAACTACCACCTCTACGCCGATGACACTCAAATTTACCTCTCGACCCCCCCCACCTCACCCCCACATTCTCCGCCCGCATCACTCACCTCCTAAACGACATCTCAGACTGGATGTCGCTCCATTTCCTCAAGCTTAACCTCTCCAAAACCGAGCTTCTCGTCTTTCCCCCTCCCCGCGCCCCCCCCCCCATCCTATCCATCACTACCAACAACACCACCATCAATCCCGCCCCGCAAGCCAAAGTCCTTGGCGTCATTCTGGACTCAAACCTCTCCTTCCAACCTCATGTCAAATCACTTACAAACACATGCAGGCTCCACCTCCGCAATATTGCCAAAATACGCTCCTTCCTTACCCCAGACACCACTAAACTACTCGTACACTCCCTCATCATCTCACGCCTGGACTACTGCAACTCCCTTCTCACCGGCCTACCCCAGTGCAGGCTCTCCCCGCTCCAGACCATCCTGAACTCAGCGGCTAGACTCATCCACCTCACCAACCGCTCCACTTCTGCCACCCCCCTCTGTCATTCCCTCCACTGGCTCCCGATTGCCCAACGTATCAAATTCAAACTACTAACCCTGACCTACAAAGCCGTTCACAACACTGCCCCTAACTACCTCACCAACCTGATTCCCAGGTACCACCCTACCCGTACCCTTCGCTCTTCACAGGACCTCCTTCTATCTTGCTCCCTGGTCTCCTCCTCCCACGCACGTCTGCAAGACTTCTCCAGATCCTCCCCCATCCTCTGGAACTCACTACCCCAATCCATCAGATTGTCGCCTTCCCTCCTCACCTTCAGGCGCTCCCTGAAAACCCACCTCTTCAGGGAAGCCTACCCCGCCCTCACCTAACAGCCGTTCTTCTTCATTCCTCCTACCACTCCATCCCCCACAGCCACTTCCTCCTGTACCACTACCCCCTCCCTCCTAGATTGTAAGCTCGAAAGAGTAGGGCCCTCTTACCCCTCGTGTGCTGTTTGTAGTTGCTGTTCTGTTTCATGTATTGTCCCCCCCTCTATTGTACAGCGCTGAGCAAACCCTTTGGCGCTATATAAACTCGATGTAATAATAATAGTAATATTGTAAATATATGTCGCGTGTAGATTTTTTTTTTCTAAATATATTGGAAATATATTTCTCTTCCATATGGCCCCCCCCCCCCCATCACAATGACTCCAAATCACAATTATTGTACAATGTTCTGTACACAATATTACATATACGACCGCAGTAACCAAATCCATCCCATGGTCTCTATTGAACCCACTTTACTCACATTTTTAAAGCCTCGATATAGAACCTGAAGTTCTTTTTTGGTGAATTTGGTTTGTTCTTGTAGCTGTTCAAGGCCTTCTGGACGATGGCAAACCGTAGACAGTTCAAACTCATCTTCTATGCTGTCTGCAAGAGGAGACGCAGATGTTACCCAAGTCAACACAGACGAGCCTTAATAATTTGTTTAACAGGATCCTGGGGCAGGGGCGGACTGACAACTCATGGGGCCCCCCGGCAATAGGGGATCATGGGGCCCCTGTGTCCCTTGCCCACACTCAAACCACACCCAAAAAAAGCCTATGAAAGGTACCAGAGACATCTCATGGGGCCCCCTACTGACCCTGGGCCCTCGGGCAGTGCCCGAGTTCCCCAATGGTCAGTCCGCCCCTGTCCTGGGGTAAAACGCAAGGTCCCTGAACCCACATGGAAAAAAAAAATATATTTCAAATATATTTTAAAAATACATTCTTAATATATTCTTCCCAAATATATTGACCTATATTTCAAATACTACAATTTTGGCCATATTCAAAATATTTAAAAAATATATTTCAATATATTTGTGAATATATTATAAAAAAATATATTGAAAACACACAAAATAATTTCAAAGTGTACTTTGGAATGCATTTACAGGTATATTTAAAAATCTATGTGTAAATGCATTTTTTAAAATATATTTTCAAAATACTTTAAAAATATTCTTCTAAAACATATTGCCATGTATTTGAAATGCTACAATTTTAGCCATATTCAATATATTTCAAAATATATTTCAATAAATAAATAATAATAAAAAAAAAATATATATATATATATATATATATACTGCATGTTGACATGCATTTTTATTACAAGATATATGAAAAATATTTTTAATAATCTATGTTTAAATGCATTTTTTTAGATATTCAAAAATATCTGGAAAATATATTTAAAAAAAATATATTTTTAAATATATGCCTTTTGGAAAATATATTTTAATTTACATTTTTGGAATACATGTTAAAATATATTCGTGTAGTCCAGTATATTGTAATTACATGTCGCATGTATAATTTTTTTTCTAAATATATTGGAAATATATTTCTCTTCCATATGGGTGGCGGCAGTGCCTAGGCCAAGGTGACGTTGCATTCCGTCCAGCAGGATTCTGGGGAATACAGAGCAGCTGAAATCTCTGCATTTTTTTTAGATGTTCAAAAATATCTGGAAAATATATTTAAAAAAATATATTTTTAAATATATGCTTTTTGGAAAATATATTTTAATTTACATTTTTGGAATACATGTTAAAATATATTCATGTAGGCCAATATATTGTAAATATATGTCGCATGTATAATTTTTTTTTCTAAATATATTGGAAATATATTTCTCTTCCAAATGGGCGGTGACGTCACATTCCTTCCAGCGGGATCCTGGGGAATGCAGAGCAGCTGAAATCTCGTGAGAAGACGCTTTTGCAATGGGCTGAGGTATCTCCAGCTGGTCTGCATCCTTCAGGGATTTTCCTGGAAGGGCTGTAACGGTGTAGCCTCCCATATGGAACAAAAAATATATTTTAAAAATATTCTACCCAAATATATTGCCATTCATTTGAAATGCTACAATTTTGGCGATATTTAATATAAATATATATATATATATATATATATATATTGTATGTTAAAATGCTTTTTTTATATATATTAAAAAATATATTTGAAATATATTTCTCTTCCATATGGGTGGCGGCAGTGCCTAGGCCAAGGTGACGTCGCATTCCATATATATATGAAATATATTTTTAAAAATACATTTTCAAATATACTGTATGTCTTTAAAAATATATTTAATCTACATTTTTTTTGATATATTTAAAACATATATGTAAATATATACATTAAAATTACTTTTATATATGTTAAAAAAAATCTGAAAAATATTTAAAATATATATTTTTAAACATATTTTCATATATTTTTTAATATATAAAAAAAGCATTTCAGCATACAGTATATATATGCCAATATATTTGGGAAGAATATTTCTTAAATATTTTTCTTCCATGTGGGAGTACAATTACAATACAAATTAATAAAGGAGGAATCAGAGGGCCCTGCTCGTTAGAGCTTACAATCTAACCCATGTGGAAGAAAAATATATTTGATATATATTTTAAAAATATTCTTCCCAAATATATTGCCATATATTTTAAATACTACAATTTTGGCCGTATTCAATATATTTCAAAATAATATATATATAGCATAGTCTTTCTATACATCCAGAAGAAGTATGGTGTGTCTATTACTCTAGAATCATAGCCTTCCCATTGAGCTTAAAAGGAGTAGGTCCTTCTTGATCCATCGAGAATCATAGCTTCCCTATTGTTCCAAAGAAGCATGGTCTTCCTACTCATCTAGAAGCATAGCCTTCCTATCAGTCCAAAGGGAGCGTGGCTTTTTTAAATGTCTAGAAGAAGCATGGTCTTCCTACACATCTAGAAGCATAGCTTTCCTATCAGTCCAAAGGGAGCCTGGCCTTCCCGTACGTCTAGAAGCATGGTCTTCCTATCAGTCCAAATGGAGCATGGCTCTCTTATACCTCTAGAAGAAGCATGGTCTTCCTACTCATCTTCCTATCAGTCCAAAGGGAGCATGGTCTTCCTGTACATCTAGAAGCATGGCCTTCCTGTACATTTAGAAGCATGGCTTCCTGTACGTCTAGAAGCATGGCTTCCTGTACGTCTAGAAGCATGGCCTTCCTGTACGTCTAGAAGCATGGCCTTCCTGTACGTCTAGAAGCATGGTCTTCCTGTATGTCTAGAAACATGGCCTTCCTGTACGTCTAGAAGCATGGCCTTCCTGTACGTCTAGAAGCATGGCCTTCCTGTACGTCTAGAAGCATGGCCTTCCTGTACGTCTAGAAGCATGGTCTTCCTGTATGTCTGGAAGCATGGTCTTCCTGTATGTCTAGAAACATGGTCTTCCTGTACGTCTAGAAGCATGGTCTTCCTGTACGTCTAGAAGCATGGCCTTCCTGTACGTCTAGAAGCATGGCCTTCCTGTATGTCTAGAAGCATGGCCTTCCTGAATGTCTAGAAGCATGCTCTTCCTACTCATCTAGAAGCATAGCCTTCCTATTAGTCCAAAGGGAGCATGGCCTTCCTGTACATCTAGAAGCATGGTCTTCCTGTATGTCTAGAAACATGGTCTTCCTGTACGTCTAGAAGCATGGTCTTCCTGTACATCTAGAAGCATGGCCTTCCTGTACGTCTAGAAGCATGGTCTTCCTGTACGTCTAGAAGCATGGCCTTCCTGTACATCGAGAAGCATGGCCTTCCTGTACGTCTAGAAGCATGGTCTTCCTGTACATCTAGAAGCATGGCCTTCCTGTACGTCTAGAAGCATGGTCTTCCTACTCATCTAGAAGCATAGCCTTCCTATTAGTCCAAAGGGAGCCTGGCCTTCCTGTACATCTAGAAGCATGGTCCTTCCTATCAGTCCAAATGGAGCATGGCCTTTCCGTACGTCTAGAAGCATGGTCTTCCTGTACGTCTAGAAGCATGGCCTTCCTGTACATCTAGAAGCATGGCCTTCCTGTACATCTAGAAGCATGGCCTTCCTGTACATCTAGAAGCATGGCCTTCCTACTCACTGGTTTTTTTTATGTTTTCTGCCACTGTCCATTAATGTCGGGGCTTTCTGCACCCATCCCCCCCCCTATGGCCACTGCAACACACGACCATTTTTCCATGTTTTTATCCCTTTAAAGACCCTAAAAGAACAGAAATATATCGACTGATCTTTCAGAAATGCACTCAGCTCCTCTGAACAACATACGGCATTTTCATGGGCTGGGTGGTGTCAGCCCTACCCCACTGTCTATTGCTGAACCCCTCCCACTCTCCCATTTCTACAACATAAAGGCTAATTCCTCCATAGTCCCCGGATGAGGACTGGAAAAAGCTCAATGTTTCTACTCCTTGAGTCCTGTTGGTACGCAGGAAGAGCACTGGACACAAAACAGCTCTGGATTTCTGGCAGGGCTCCCTGAGAGCGTGTGGCACCACGATCTGGTGCCCGCTGCGTCCAATCGTCGTATGGGACCTCTGTGTGAGGTCCTGATCATGTGATCACTGTTTGGCCAATCAGTGATCACATGAAGAGTAGTAAGCAAGATGTCACTTCCTGCCATCATTGCTTACTACGTGTGAAATCTGTGAATGATCACAGAGATCACATGGTACAGGGCTATTCACAACAGCCTTGTACCATGTGACAAGCTGTGACCAATCACAGCTCACACAGTATTTCTCAATGGCTCCAAGAATGCAGCCAGAGAGAAGGAGAAATTATTGCTTTTACAGCCTTTATGGGTGTAAAAGCAATCAGTGTAAAAAAAAAAATCTTCATCACCCCCACAAGTAGTACAGCGTCACCATGGTGATAGTATGTAAAAAAACAAAACAAAAAAAACAAATAATATAAAAAAATAAAATAAGAATGTAAACTTTTAAAAAAAAATTACAATTTTTGGTTATAAACTAATTTGGTTTTTTTTTTTATACTAAAAAGATAGCTGAATATATTTTGGCCAAGATTTATGAAAAAGATTATTTATTTGCAAAATTTTATAATAAAAACATTTTTTTTTCAAAATGTTTGGACTTTTTCATTTTATATAGCAAAAAAATAAAGTGGTGAATAAATTCCACGAAAATATAGTTTTATCTGTCTCAAAAAAATGCTAAAAAAATTCCTATGGGTACAGTGTTGCATGACCGCGCGCAATTGTCTGTCATTCAAAGTGATAGCGCTGAAAGCTGAACATTGGCCTGGACTGGAAGGGGGTGAAAGTGTCCGGACCGGAAGAGGGGGAAAGTGTCCGGACTGGAAGGGGGTGAAAGTGTCCGGACCGGAAGGGGGTGAAAGTGTCCGGACTGGAGGGGGGGGGAAAGTGTCCGGACTGGAAGGGGGGGGGAAAGTGTCCGGACTGGAAGTGGGGGTGAAAGTGTCCGGACTGGAAGGGGGGGGGAAAGTGTCCGGACTGGAAGGGGGGAAAGCGTCCGGACTGGAAGGGGGGGGGAAAGTGTCCGGACTGGAAGGGGGGGGAAAGTGTCCGGACTGGAAGGGGGGGAAAGTGTCCGGAC